GTAGGAGAAAGGTGAATTGTATATGTATATTGGTTAGATAATTGTATATTATACGTATGTAATTGTATATATGGCAAGAGAGATTGGGAGAGGGAGGAGAGGCGAGCGAGACTGGGAGAGAGAGGAGAGAGGCGAGCGAGATCGAGAGAGGGAGGAGAGATGCGAGCGGGAGAGGACAGAGAGTGGGAGAGAGGTGAATTGTATATGTATATAATTGTATATTATACATATACATTTGTATAAATGACAAGCGAGATTGGGAGAGGCAAAAACAGAATTACAGAATAGGGTTTCCCATAGCGTCTATATATAGTGCTAAGCTACGCCCTAACAGGCTTGGGCCCAACATACAGAATCAACAGAAAATTAAGGGCCCAATACAACAACATTGTATACCGTCGGCCCGGGGGCGTCTCCGCCCCCCCGGACCCCCAGGCCAGGGGGCGCGTCGCCCCCCTGGACCCCCCGACTCGCTGACCGGGCAGCGAGACCCCCGTCCTTTCTGTTTGTAGCGGGTCCGATTCAAGGCATTCAACAAATCTCCACCTTGACTTGAATTCTCCGAACAGATTCTTCAGACGCACTATGATAGTGCCAAGCCTCCCCCTCTTCCTCAGAGTTGCCCCGCAGGGCAATTAACAGCTTCTGATGTTGAGCAAGTCCAAACAGTGTTGAAACTTGCTCTGTGGAACCGGCTTTGTGAACATATCAGCAGGATTATCAGCAGTTCCTACTTTCTTCACCTTGATTCTCTTCTCACTTCTTAGAAAATGATACCTTACGTCAATATGCTTGGTTCTCTCATGATGGACTTGATCCTTGGCTAGACAAATTGCGCTCAAACTGTCACAATACACCGTAGCCTGATCATGATGCAGACCAAGATCACTAACCAGCCCTTTCAACCAAATCCCTTCTTTTGCAGCCTCTGTCAAGGCCATGTACTCCGCTTCCGTAGTAGACAAAGTCACTGTAGGTTGCAAAGTTGCCTTCCAACTGACGACAGATCCTCCAAGGGTAAACACATAGCCAGTCATCGATCTTCTTGTGTCAACATCTCCAGCATAGTCTGAATCAGAATAGCCAGTAACCAAGCACTGAGTATCACCTCCATAAATGAGACCAACGTCAGATGTACCTCTAAGGTACCGGAAAATTCTCTTCACAGCCTGCCAATGTTCTCTCCCTGGTTGTCCCATGAATCTGCTCACTACACTGACTGCATGTGCTAAATCTGGCCTTGTACAGACCATAGCATACATCAAACTTCCTACGGCACTGGCATAAGGGACTCGTGACATATACTCCTTCTCTTCTTCTGACTGTGGAGCGAACATGGCAGTGAGATGGATATTGGCAGCACTGGGGGTATCAATGGGCTTAGATGAAGACATGCCAAACCTCGCCAAGACCTTCTGAATGTAGCTTCTCTGTGACAAGAAAAGTTTCCTTCTCTCTCTGTCTCTAATGATCTCCATCCCTAAAATCTTCCGAGCGGCTCCCAGATCCTTCATCTCAAACTCAGCACTAAGTAAACCCTTCAGCTTCTGAATGTCATACTTCTTCTTTGCAGCTATCAACATATCATCTACATAAAGCACCAGATAGATGAATGAATCATCATTGAGCCTATTGTAGTAGACACAACAATCATATGAGCTCCGAGTATAGCCCAACTTCACCATATAGCTGTCAAACCTTTTATACCACTGCCTTGGAGACTGCTTAAGTCCATATAAGGACTTCTTCAACTTGCAGACGTGATTTTCCTTCCCTGGAACTTGGAAACCATCCGGCTGAGTCATGTATATCTCTTCCTCCAACTCTCCATGTAGAAACGCTGTCTTCACATCAAGTTGTTCAAGCTCCAGATTCTGATGTGCAACTATCGCTAGTAACACTCGGATGGAAGTATGTCTGACCACTGGTGAGAAGATCTCATTATAGTCCACTCCCTCTCTTTGGTTGAAACCTCTGGCAACAACCCTGGCTTTATACTTGACTCCTTCTGCTGGTGATATCCCTTCCTTCTTCTTGAAAACCCATTTGCAAGTAATAATCTTTCTCCCCGAAGGCTGTATGACCAGATCCCATGTCTGATTCTTGTGTAGGGACTCCATCTCATCTCCCATAGCGGCAAACCATTTTTCAGAATCAGAACTTAAAATGGCTTCTTTGTAAGTAGACGGCTCAGATGTATCTACCTCTTCAGCAACCTGCAGTGCATAACCCACCATGTCCTCAAAACCATACCTCGTAGGTGGCCGAACTCCAACCCTCCTTGGCCGATCTTGAGCTATACTCTGATGGATATCTGATGGCATAGATTCTGGAATATCAGTTTCAGTCTGTGGCTCTTGATCCTCCTCTTCAGGTTCCTTTAAATCGCTCTCGTTCTGAATGACTTGAAACTCCACCTGTTTGTCAAGACTCCCAGTTTCTGACGTAGTTGTAGGCTTCACAATGGTTCTAAGCAGAGGACTTTCATCAAAGACAACGTTCCTGCTCATAATAACCCTCTTTTCTGCTGGAGACCAGATTCTGAAACCTTTCACTCCATCTCCGTAGCCCACAAATACTCCCTTTTTAGCTCTTGGTTCTAACTTACCTTCACTGACGTGATAGTAAGCCGTACAACCAAAAGCTTTCAGATTTGAATAATCAGCAGCTTTTCCAGACCACATCTCCATAGGTGTCTTGCACTGTATACCTGTATGTGGTCCGCGGTTAATCAAGTAGCAAGCTGTACTAACCGCTTCTGCCCAGAATCTTCTATCTAGCCCAGCATTAGAGAGCATGCACCTTGCTCTCTCCAGAAGTGTTTGATTCATCCGCTCAGCTACACCGTTCTGCTGTGGTGTATTTCTGACTGTGCGATGTCGAGCAATCCCTTCATCCTTACAGAATTGATCAAATTCAGACCAACAGAATTCCAGCCCATTATCAGTTCGCAACCTCTTGATCTTCTTCCCTGTTTGATTTTCCATCAAAATTTTCCACTCCTTGAACTTCTGGAAGGCTTCACTTTTATGCTTCATCATGTACACCCAAGTCATCCTTGAGTAGTCATCAATAATGGACACAAAAAATCTGCAGCCTCCCAAAGACTCAACACGGCATGGACCCCAGCAATCAGAATGGATATAATCAAGTGTGCCTTTTGTTCTATGAATGGCCTTTGGAAACTTGTTGCGATGTAGTTTTCCAAAAACACAATGTTCACAAAACTCTAGGCTCTTAACCTTATGACCAGCAAGTAAATCCTCCTTTGACAGAATTTGCATCCCTCTTTCACCCATATGACCAAGTCTTATGTGCCATAACTTAGTCATATCCTTCTGGTGAAATTCTGACGATGCAACATGGGCTGAACCTGTAACCGTGGAACCTTGTAGAAAATACAAAGTACCACGCATGACACCTTTCAGAATCAAATTTGAACCCTTCCAGACCCGCAAGACTCCATCTTTTCCCGACCAGCTGAATCCCTTGCTGTCCAAAAGACTGAGAGATATCAGATTTTTCGTCATCAATGGAACGTGCCTGACCTCGTTCAATGTGCAGAAGCTACCGTCATGTGTCCTTATCTTGATCGAGCCTGTCCCAACCACCTTGCAGACAGAACTGTTGGCCATCGAGATGCTGCCTCCGTCTACCTGCTCATAAGTCGTGAACCACTCTCTCCTAGGACAGATGTGATAGGATGCCCCAGAATCAAGAACCCACACATCTGAATGATGAGTGTGCTCATCCGCAACTAGGGCAATATCTTCTTCAGAATTGGTGTCTTCTTCAGCAACAGCAGCAGACACTGATTGTTTTTCCGATTGCTTCTTCTTCTTCGGACAATCAAATTTCCAATGTCCCTTCTCCTTGCAGTAATTACAAACATCATCCGGCTTTGCACCCTTCGACATCGGCTTATTTTTCTTTCCGCCGTTTTTCCTTCCCTTTCTGCTACTGGTGAACAGACCGGAAGGCTGTATGTCCGTACTTGTGCCGTTAGCCTTATGCCGTAATTCCCTGCTATGAAGGGCTGATCTGACTTCTTCCAGTGACACAGTATCTTTCCCAACAATGAACGATTGAACAAAATTCTCAAACGACATTGGGAGAGATACTAACAGAATCAGGGCAGCATCTTCATCCTCGATCTTCACATCGATATTACGCAATTCTAATAACAAAGTATTCAATTGCTCTAAGTGTTCCCTGAGTTGTGTACCTTCAGCCATTCGTAAACCGAATAGACGTTGTTTCAGAAGCAGCTTGTTGGTTAGAGATTTTGTCATGTACAAACTCTCCAGCTTCAACCACAGACCAGCAGCAGTCTCTTCATCCGAGACCTCCGTGATGACGTCATCCGCGAGACACAGCATGATCGTCGAGTGCGCCTTTTCCTCCAGAATCGCCATCTCAGGAGTAACGACGGCGTTCTTGTCTTTCGACAACGGCGCCCAGAAGCCTTGCTGTTTCAACAAGGCCCGCATCTTGATCTGCCATAAACTGAAACTGTTCCTCCCTGTGAATTTGTCGATTTTCACGTTCAAAGCAGACATCTCGAATTCTCCAAGAACACCGATTAACCGAGAGGCTCTGATACCAATTTGTTGTGCGGAATTTGAGATAATACGAGAAAATATAAACGCGAAAAATAAGACAACAGATTTACGTGGTTCACCAACAAATTGGCTACGTCCACGGGAAGAGAGGGAGCAGTTTTATTATGGAGAGGCAAAAACAGAATTACAGAATAGGGTTTCCCATAGCGTCTATATATAGTGCTAAGCTACGCCCTAACAGGCTTGGGCCCAACATACAGAATCAACAGAAAATTAAGGGCCCAATACAACAACATTGTATACCGTCGGCCCGGGGGCGTCTCCGCCCCCCCGGACCCCCAGGCCAGGGGGCGCGTCGCCCCCCTGGACCCCCCGACTCGCTGACCGGGCAGCGAGACCCCCGTCCTTTCTGTTTGTAGCGGGTCCGATTCAAGGCATTCAACAAAGTCCAGTTGGATCCAAGAATTGTGCGTCATCTACTCTTAAGGCTTGTCCACATTTATAATCCGGATTAAGAAGACCTACTATTTTCCATCTTTCGGGAGGGTAAAGAGCTGTTAGATTCAAATCTGGTGGAAGCTTATAGACTTGTAATTGAAACACAGACTTTGAGTTGGTTGCATCCATTACAGTGGGCATGATGCTGCCATTCCTGCAGCAGAATGGCAACATACCTACATCTTTATCTTGAGCTCTTTCTCGAGGCAAATCAGCTATGGTAGGCTTCTTTTCACAGTTCAAAACTTTAGAAAAATCAAAGTCTTTATAGTACTGTCCTGCAGCACCATAGACACAATTCGAATAATCTTTCTTGCGAGTGTATGCACCCCTCATCGAGTATATGAACTCCCCTCTCATCCATTCCCAAGTTAAATTCCACTGATCAAGGCGTCCCAAAGGATTACTATTTTGTATGGTCACTTGTGCTTGATAGTTAGTCGTATAGGCTTGCATAACATCATAAGAGATCAAAAGATCACCATTTTGCCGTGGGAAAAACTTGGTTGTGAAATTTTTAACCTTAAATTTTGGATCTTTCAAGCAGCAGACATGCATTTTTGTTGCTGTCACACAATAAACGAAAACAAAGATTCAGAATTCAATCAAGATACGCGACAAAAATGTGGCTGATTTACACACTTACCTTTACGTTTTACTGCTGGACATTTGTATCCATCATTGAAAAGTTTAATAGTTTTAGGCATGGGGTAACCTGGTGGCTTGATTCCAAATTGTGTACCTGTTAACTCAATCTCTGCTTGAATCTTCTTAACATCACCAGCAGTATCAATCGACGTTTTCAAATCTGTCTGAGGATAACCAGCTAGGTAAGTTCCATTTCCAACAGGAGCTGGTAAATCATCACCACTTAATAAAACAGCATTACTAGCTGAGACTAAAAGCTCGCGATTTTGAAACCCGATGAAGATTTTCCAGTTCTTGAGCTCATATATACCTGCATTAAGTACTGTTGCTGTAGCCTTAAAGGCCCAAGCTTGTGCAGTTGCATTTTTTACATGTGGAAGCTCTTTCGTCCTAGAGATGAATACATAGGATAAAAAAATACCATTGCAATTATTTTCTGCAGGTGGTAATTTACCATCATAATCCTGTGCCTTAATATTGACAGAAAACAAGAGTATGTAAAAGATCATGGATTTTGAGAACATCTTCATTATTTTCTACAAATTTTAAAAAAGTGTCAATTGGATTTCAAGATTTGGTGAAAAAAAGAAGATATTTGGTATGATAATCTTGAATTAAGTGAAGACTTGGTCAGAATTCAGATGAAAATTATTTCCTCCATGTAAGCTACGACTGAAATGGCGGGACCAAACTACCAACGGTTATTCAATCTTTTTTACTTTTTATTTTTCATTTATTATGTTCTGTTGTAGGGAATTTTGGTTATAAATTACTTGACCATTTTGCCCTTAGATCCTTTAGCAGTATTCATTCTGTTGTTATTGAATTCATCATGAAATAATAAATTTTGAATCAATGTCCAAAAATCATGGTTTTATTACCCTTTTTCCAGCTCGATTTTTCGATAAAAGAAGCATAAATAACAGGCCATATTGTTAGGGACATGAAGTGCAAGGAGACATTGAATTCCAAACAGTAACAATACCTTATACACAAAAAAGAATACCAATATCTACATATAATGAAACTGAGGAAAACAAGGAGTATGAGAGAATCCCTGGAGATTGTTCAAATCAAATAATTAGCATTAGTACAATCTTCAACCAATAGACTAAACGATTCAACTCTTTACACGATCCTTCCTCGTTGTAGTTCCAAGAAGAGGAACGATAAAACTAAGAGAAAAATAAATAGAAGAAATAAAGGAAAAGAATTTATAATTCTCCCAAAACATTGTCCTGGTTTTGAATTTTTTTTTTAGTTTTTCACCTTGTGTTTTCACATCTCTAAGTCCTCCTCCTACTTCTTTAGGTTTCTTCCATATTAGTTTTATCACATTTGCAGTGTAACACTCTCTACATCTACTCAATTTTCTATACCGTCCTCATCTTTCTCGTGGATACTTCCATGAGGACTATGAACAACTTCAATAGCTAAGCAATGACAGAATTCTCAGCAATTTAAGCTGCAAGTTTGTACCATTAAGCCACCTCTATGTTAAGTGGTTTAGCATTGCCTTCGACAAATTTAGTCTTGGATTTTTCTGCTCGTGATGATCTTGACGAGGATGATGAAGCAGACCTGGGAGAGGATGTCGACTTGGCCTTCCTCCGCTTTTGTTTCTTAGGACCCACTGTAGGTGTTACGTCCCTGTAAAGATCAGATGATTGTTGCTGTCTCATTGACTCTGTGTAATCTGTCCAAAAGATAGATAAGAACGATAAAGCAAGTATCTACAGAAAATCAGGATCGATACATCTTGTATGACAAACTTGCAGCTTGTTTGTGAATCAACTCATATCAAGAAGTTCCAAAGTTGGCATTAGAAATATCAGTCCATTACATGAAACTTAAATATTCATTCATGAACCACTTCAAGTAGAATATCAAAAGATTTTGAAAATAGGTCCCACTCAAATATATAAACCGAGAGCAATGCAACCAAATATCATTCAAGAAAAAAAAAAGAAACTTGCACTCCCCTGAACATTTTTTACGCTGAACGTCACTAGTCAAAATAAGTGATAATGCATAATGGTATCTAAAGGCTTGAGCCATAAATCTTTGTCACACTAGTTGCTTGCTTTCTTATCCAAGAGACAAACACAGAATATTTTATGAAACTTCGATTAGCTTAGCTTCAAAGAGAACTAAGATGAAAACTTAATTGAGTGAGATGCTAGGTCAATTGAATGATTCCGACTCAAAGAATAATTTACAAGATATATATTCCTTTCTAACCTTTACACAGAAGATTCTTTGGTAATGTAGATGTTATGAAATTACTATATTAGTGTCATTGGTACTAGACAATATTTGCCTAACAGCCAAGATTAATTTTAGAAAAGCACATCAAAAACTGTCCCTTTCTGGTGCCAAGTTAAAGACCTTTCTGTGACAGATAAGTCCAAAGCTTTCCCTGGTTTGAGGCAAAGAATCTTTGGGTCCCTTTGGATTGAGGACTTTAGCCCTATGTGTAAATTCATTTTCACAAGCTTTAACTTTTTGCACCAACTCAGATTTACCTAATATAATTTGGATTAAAAACACAAACTGCGGTCACATTTCATTCAACCTTATTTTTGGTTCATTTCAAATAACACTTGAGAATATGTCATACGGAAATCTCATGCATTTAAAAATGTAAATTTGAATTCTCCTAGGAGATACACACCCTTCAAAGAAAAACAAAACAAGACGAAAACTATAAAACAAATAAAAGAATTGTCCTGTCCATTTTAACAGATTTTTCTATACATTTGTACAAAACATAAGACAAGTTTATCATTTTTCAATCAACATCTCAACCCGTGACAAAACCCTACAGCCATTGACACATTGTCTGATTACAGACACTGCACATGTTTTAAAGCAACATATCAGACACTTGCTTTGTTTTCTTGATTCATTCCAAATGATTCCAACTATTCAATAATATGCAACACATCTTTAGTCATCATTCTTGGCTTGTCACATGACAATTGGTAGTGAAAGGAGCACACAAGAGGGAAAAGGAGAGCTTTTTAGAGGCAAAATACTAACCTTGTGATGCCCATGGAGAATGTGCAGAACCAGAATTACCAATAGAAGTTGCTGCAAAATCTGGCCCAGTCTTGAATTCATTCATCTATAAAGTTCCAAAAAGAACCAACCAACCAAACAAAAGTATTAGGTATATGAAAATAAAATGATGAATTGAGAAAAGGGCAAATACAAATATGTGGACCAAAGAATGGTGAAAAAACTAAAAACATACCCAACTAGGTGCATTGCCTGATTGTCCATCCCACCCAATATGTGCCACATGCTTAACATCAGTTGGAAATCCAATTTCTATCTCCCTCTCCTTCACAACTGTAAGTAATCACAATCAAAAAATCAACTCAAAAACTGAAACAGGGATATGGGGCTAAAGGGAAAAAAGGGAATCACCAAAAATATTAGAAATGTATTTGTAGATCCCCTTCATTTTGGTTCCCATAGAAGAGTATGTAAAACCCCAATACAACAAACACCCTCTGCTCAGAGATGAAACAGAATACAGATAGAAGTAGCAGCAGCACTTAAATGTGAAGAACCAATTCCTTCGCCTAAACCAAAAAAAAAATAAAAAAAATTGACCTTTAATTACCCTTCTCAACATACAGATAGAAATTGCATGATATAAAGATTGAATCTTTTTTTTGTGTGTGTGTTGGGGGTTGAGTAGAATACCTTTCTTGATAAAATCTGATAGAAATGAAAGGGTTACTACTTTTCCTCAACTTACTGCTGCATTGCCCATCATCTTTCTTCAAGTAATCTAGACATAATAAAAATGTAATAACCATGCAAAAAAAAAAAAAGTTTGAAATCAAGAAAAGAGGCCAAAGTGGGAAAATGTGAGAAATGAAAAATGGAAAGAAAGAGAAAAATGGGAAATGGTACAAAAATAGAGAGTTGAAGAAGAATTAGGAGAAGAGAGAAAGTTAGAGGTGGACGACCACGAAAACCTCACAAAAAAAGAAAGGGGTTGAGGTTAGTATTTTTACAAAGAACATTGAGACTACAAAGGGGGGTGGGGTGGGGTGTAATTCATATTCAGAAATAATAGGGAAAATGACACTTTTATTCCCTCAAATATCAACAAATTATGATATTGGTCTTCCTGGTAGATTTAGCACATTTAACCTTCAAATTAATTGACATCAATTAATCCATATGTTCACTTTTCACTCTTCTAATTGTGAATCTTTACAAAATTTAACAACTTATTAAGTGTTAAAAAAACACTCAATTATGGATGTATAACCTTATATTCCATATTGCATTCTTTTCATTGGTACAAATAGTCTTAAATGACTAAATTATATGTGTATTATTTTAAATTTGTATTGTTACTCCATATTAAGAGTAATATAGTTCAAAAAATGACACAAATTTTTTTATATATACATAGACCAAAAAGGGCACATTTCAGGTAATTAAAGGTTGAACTATGCTCAGTAAAATATAATGAGGATTAAAATTTTGATTTATCAATAATCAAGGGACCAAATAATATAAATAATTCCAATAGTAATCACAATATAAAAATAGCAACGAATTTAAGAAATAGGATATCCCACTGAATTAGTTTTCATAATTAAAAATGGAAAATAATAAGATATATACTCCACTACTACATCATAAATTAAATAAATGACATTTAATGGATTATTTATTGTTTATAAGTAGTGTTGTAAATGTTTTGTTGGCGTATAGGTGGCATTGTAGTTGAAAGAGTAAATCGCGGAGTCCTGTCATTTTCTTTTCTAGTACATAACTACAAATATATTGAAAATTGTTGAAATTAATTTATTTATTTTTGAATTATTTGTAAATTGTTGAAATTAAATTTTATAAAAAAATAATTCAAAATCTCAAATTTCGAAGAAAAAAGAGAGAGGAGAGATTGAGACCCTAAGATTTGGCTTAAAAAAAAGAGCAACTTACCCATATAACAAATACAAAATTTATATTTGTATGCTATAACAAAGTTTGCATAAATGCACTCCATAGCAAACATAAATATGTATAATTTGCTATACATATACAAAGAAATCAATTGTATAATTCGCTATACATATACAAAAGAAAGTAGTTGTATACAAATCAATTGTATAATTTATGAATGTATAAAATGAGAAAGAGAGAAAGACAAAAGAAAATTGGGCAGATAAATATTTGTATTGTACAATTATAAGTGTAAAGGACGAAGATATATGTATTTGAAAGTGTATATACAATTTTCTCTCACTTTATACAAACAGAAACACAATTTATACATTTCGTTTTTGTTTGTATAAACGATAAAGGCGAGGGTGACGAGCGAAATCTGGGAGAGTAGCGACTAGCGAGCGAGATATGGGAGAGGGGAACAAAAATATATGTACATATACAAATTTTTCTCGCTTTATACAAACAGAAACACATTTTATATACTTGTGTTTGTATAATAGTGAGAGAGAGCGAGCAAGAGATGTAGCGAGAGAGGGAGAGTGGCGAGCGAGAGTTTGAGGAGGAGAGGTGACTGACAAACAGTTTGCTACAGGGTATAATTAAATTAACGCATGGTTATAACAAGTAATTTAATTTATTAAATTGTCATTATATACAATTTTCCCTAAAAAAAACTTGCTTTAAGTTATTGTTAATTTTGGTTTGTTTGAAAAAGTTAAAAACAATTTAAAATAAATTTACAATGACTTTTAAAAAAGTTAGAAGTACGTAGATACTCTTCGACTTTTATTTTAATTTAAAAGTTATTAAAATTTAACTTTCTTAAAATTATTCCCTCATTCCCATTTTATGTGGTAACATTTGACTGGATACAAATTTAAGAAATAATAAAAATTTTAAAATGTTTATTAAATTGTCCTTAAAAAAATAAACTCATTTTTCTCTCTCTTCATAAATGTATTAGAGTGTTATCTTTAAAATCGAGTGGGACCAACAAGGGTAAAAGAAGTGAAATTGTACCTTTAAGTACTTACCGTATAAGGAAATGTAACATTTTTTTTTGGAGTGACCAAAAAGAAAATGGT